CGAAGTGAAGGGAAAGCGACTCAACGCCCCGGATTATTTGGCTTCCTGTCTGATTTCGGGCACTCTGCGTGTAGGTTATTTTGAGTCCTTCACGTGGGCGTGTCTTTAACTTCTCCCCAAAGCCTTCCCCTCTCCGCGCCCCGGCCACCGCGAACACTTGCAGGAATCGCCCTGCGTGGCCCCGCAGCGCGGGCTGGACTGGAATTGCAGAGTGTGGTCTGCAGAGGGCATGAGATCATGGGGCCCCAAAATAGAGCAAGGAGGAGGAGGAGAAGGATGCATGGCCCAGGCGCTCCCAGCTTCTCAAAGGCAGGGGAGTGAGTCTCGGGGCAGACCTGTGGGTTTCTGGAGAGAAATGCAAATGAACCGGTAGGGTCGGGGGCGGGGGTGGGGTGACTTTCTTGTTCTCCCACGTGGGAAAAAAAACAAGAGTTCTCCCAAAGCCCTTGCTTACCTACCTCCTAGGCTACACTACTCCAAGAGAGGAGATTCAACCTTAAAATAAACGGGTTTACACACACACACACACACACACACACACACACACATATATATATATATATATATACAGGATGTTTAGTTTTCCATGGTTTTATGTGGTTTCTAGAGCTTTATTGCTGCTTCTGTTTTAATATATTTACTTACTAGTTCCTTTTGGCTTTCTGTATGGAAGGTTTCGAAACGTTAGCGATGTGCTCTCCTGAGAGTGACACTGTTACTTGGTTAGCAATATTAACAATTCTAAAGCAGTCTGAAATACTGAAAGCTTTATGTTTTAACTAGACCATGAACCAGCGGCTGTAATTCTAGATGTGTTTTGTTTCATCTTTGATTCTACCACTTGCACGTTTCCTTGGTCGTCAGTTAGCAAAAACCACATTGTGCAGGGAAGACTCCTGTCAAAGGAAAAGTGACTCTCAACTGACTTCAGTGACTGAGGAAAGTCCTACAACCCCCCAAACAATTAAATTCTTATTCATTTCACTGACGGGAATATATGCAAATGTTTTAAAAAGAGAATGAATGTTCAGCAGGTATAAAGTGGATTTTGTCCCCTTTAAAATAGTAAACTTTCGATGCACTTCATTCATCCTTCAATAATAAACTCTTCAATCTGTCACCTCCAAATATGCATAGCATATTTAAAAATATATTTTTTCCCTTAAATGGTTTCAGTTTGGTGAAGAGGAGAAAGTGGGGCCAACATGTATCAAAAAAAAAAAAATCAAAACCTAAGTCATGTTTGCATAATAGAGCCACACAAGGATATTATGAACAATTAATAGAAAAGGCAATTGACATTGAAAGATGTAAAAGCCATCCCTCAAATCACTTTTGAACTTTTATTTTATTGTTGTTACCTTTGAGTCAGCTTACAAACCACCCAACAGAAACAGGTTTTCACTATTTCATTATTTCTTACCACAAACTTGGCTTCAAATCTTGCTTTGACTGTTTCCTGAAGTCAGATTCAAGGATTTGCTTCACTGAGATTGATCAAATGAGTGTCAGAACTTCTAAAAGCAACTCAACAGAGACTTTCCAAAGTGGCTTTGAACCTGACAAAACAAATGGAATAAGTGTGTTGTCTGCAACTCAAAACAACAAATGACTTTAAAGACTTCGGTCCATTGGAAAAGTCAATGCCTCTGCAGGGTCACAAATATCTCAAACATCTAGGCACCAGCAGGAACCATAAATGAGTGAGGCAGCCCCCTGCAGATTGGCAAAAGGTGAACCAGTTGCCCTTTAGTAATAAAAAGTGCAGCTTTTACTCAGGGTCGGATTGTGCACCCCGGGTGAACAATCAGATTTTTCAAAAGAAACAGGAAATTGAGATGTTTTTGTGAATTCTTCAGATTGCAAAATGTTTTCTACAAGATTCAGAAAAAATTTTTCTTTAAACACTTTAAAGGCCAAACAAAATCTAACACATCTGTAGGGTGGACCTAGCAGGCAAGCCACCAGGATGTGGCTTCTGCCTTAAGCTTCTGCCTCAAGCTCCTGCCTTAGCTCCACCAGTTGGGACTTTTATGGGTAATTATAAAAACCCAGTTAAAGTTCTAAAAATAGAGGAATAAGACAGGCCTAGTAGGCCACTCATATTGTTTAGCTATAGACTTTGAAATGCCTTTGATAAAGTCTTGCCTCAGTCTTGTTTATTCTAAATGGTCAGAGGGACAGCTTCATATTCCAAAGTACAACAAGGTAGGTCCGGGAACATAAAACAGCAACACAATGAATGTTTCATCTTTAATCCTAAATCACTCTGCATTAGTGACTGAGCACTCTGATCTAGTTCAAGAGGAGAGATGATACATTAAGATTTTATAATATTCCTTGACACAAACATGTAAATGTTTCTTCTCTGGTATCTGAAACTGTAAAGCTGTAGATAAAGCCAAATACCAAACAAGACCAATTTATCTATGTTTGAACTATGCCTTCTCAAAGTTGAGAACCTCTTAGCTTTCAAAAAATGAAATACGCCGTAATTACTTTAGCAGCTGCTTCAGAGTTTCTGCAGCTTTCTCCACTTCACTGGTATAAGACCAAAGACATCTAGCCAAGTCTTAAAAGAGAAAACCACATAGCTCTTTAAGCTTCATGAGATTCAGAAAAAAGAAAAAGTTTTTCCACAGCATTGATTTATTTTTAAGATTTTGTATGACATTCTAATTTTTCTGTCTCTTTTGTAAGCACAAATATATGTGCCCTTTTTAGCAAGAAGATTGTATAACTATGTGACCTTGAACAGATTACAAGAAGTCTCTGATCCTTAGTCCTCACTTATACAATGATCTTATAAATGATATTACAAAATTATGCCAATAAAATGTTTTACATTTCCCCAACTTTATATAAAAATTCCAATATATTTTTCCATATTTTAATCACCCAATCACTATGCCAGGAGAGAAAATTTAGGCTTTAATTTTATATAAATTCTGCATGTTTTACATATAATTTCTAATGAGAGAGTTGCCATTGGACATGAATCTACCAGAGGGGCAGAAAGGCATCCTTGCTTCTCTGAGATGGAGGACACTTGCTTAACAGGAATCAGTCAGATAACAAAATAAGCAAAGTGGA